TGTGACGGTCCAAGCTAGGCTGTAGGGCAGGTAGGCCTTGGTCAGCTCGTTCGAGGTGGTGTCGAAACACGAGTGTGGTGCGATTAGATCATTTTTGTCGTAGAACATATCAGGGAGGATCTGAACAATGACGAAAAGCCAGACCAGGGCGCTTATAGCCAGCGAGTGCTGGCTGGTGATTTTCCCCATCACTCTCATGGGGTGCACGATGCCCAAATACCTGTAGATGCTTATGCAGGTGAGAAAGCCGATACTGCCGTAAAGGTTGAGGTTGAAGCAGAAGCGGGTCACCTTGCAGAAAGGCTGGCCGAACTTCCATTTGCTGTCGTGCGCGTAATAGTCCACAAGGAACGGCAGAGTGGACAGATACAGCAGGTCCGCCACCCCGAGGTTGAGCATGAAGATGTTGATGTTTCCAATGTTGTTCCAGCTGGTGCACACGCTTCTTAGCCCCCAGATGTTGGACAGCGTCCCGACGACGAACACAGTGATGTACACAGGCGGCAGAAAGTTGTGCGTAAAATTCACATTGATGTCCTCGCAAGTCGTATTTCCAGACATCTCTCAGATTGTAGTTGGTTTTAAACTCTCTTTTTAATTAAATTTAACTTTTCCACAAGAAAAACAGCCAGTGGGCTCGCTCAGACCAAACATCTGTTCTGGCAGGTAGGTCGTGCAAATCACCACTGAAGTGAAGCCAAGAAAATGCCCGCCCACTTCCCAGTCTGGAGTTGGTGTGATACACATGAAGCTACATAGAAAAATAGAAACAAAACTTACAAACCAACGTCACAGACATTTATTCCTGTGACACAATTACAGGACTGTGATACATCATTCCTATGCGTCATGGCTTATTCTGCCATTCAGAATAGGCTAGGCAGCTGTTGGTTGTACAAATTATTATTTAAATTTGAAGGATACACCCAAAGTATAAAAATGTAACATGGATTTATGACTTCCTTGGGATTTGGTCTGGCACTTTGAAACACTCTCACATATCCTCCCCCTTGTCAAACACTAATTATGTAATAACTTTTTACATAAAGGTGGATTGTGTGCCAACATTTTAATCAAATGCAGATAACCAAATGCCATTCCACTAAGGTATTCATTCAAGCATGAATGAAAAACTAAATAATGTTGTTTTTTTTATCAAACATTTATCAGTCACCAATGTGTTCTTAATTAAACCAACAACAACAATTCTATTCTTACTGCAGTATATATATATATATCAAATCAAAAATTTTAAATGTATCCTAACATTTGAAATGAATACTGAGACCTTGATTTAAAATAGTGAACCAACATATGTGAATTTGTATCTTTAAAAAAAAAAAATGCTTACATGAATGCTCTTCTACCATGCTCCTTGCTATCATGAAATCAAAACTTACAATACATACATTTCTCCTGTAACTACGTGTGATTTAGTAAGCGCATCTGTACGCTGTATCAGAAAATGAAACATGTAATTTACTTTCAGTTCATGCATTCATTAGGAGTTTTGTGTCAGCTGACCTGATGAATGTAAGTTCAGCAATTTGTTTGTATATTGTACAAATTATATTGTATATTATATTTATCTCTATGTTTTGGTCTCCAAAAATATCTGGGTCTTTAGCTGCTAAATACTCCATTATATTCACCAGCTAATCATTAACTGTGTCTGTCTGCTATTGGTGGTGAGCAGGTTTATCAGAACACAAGGTTATGAGAGCAATGTGTCACGATTCTGGTCTAGTCTGTCTGCATCTGTATTATTTTGGTCTTGTCTGCTCGGTGTTTCTATGTCTTGATCATTGTTTCAGTCTGTTCCCTGTTATGATTGGAGTCGGTCTGTTTAGTCTGTTCTCTTGTCTTATTTTGATATGGTCTGTGTGGGGTGTTTGTCGCTGGTCTGTTTTGTCCGTGATAACCCTCTCTTCAGGTGTTTGTCCTGAGTTTGTTCACAGTTTTGTCTGTGAGTGATCTGTCAGTTTTTTCCGTGTCTCAGAGTCTTGCTCTATTTCCTGTCTTAGTCTGAAGTTGTCTGCATCTGTTTGTATCCAGCTTGTTTCCTGTCCTGTCTTTATTACACCTCATGTGTGTCACCTGAGTATTCATTCCCTGCTAATTATCCTTGTATGTATTGCCGTTTGTTCTGCTTTGTCCTTGCTGGATCATTGTTGTCGTCTCTTGCTTGTTCTCTGTTCGTGTGGATATTTGGATTTTTGTCTTTGATATAGGTTGTGTTTTTTGACTCCCTGTGTTTGGACTTTGCTTTGCATTTTTGGATTCTCTGTTGGGATTACTTGTTTTTTTGACTATTTAGAACTATTTTGAACTATTTTGAACTCTGCCACTCTTAGTAAGTGTGTATGCAATTTGAACTCTGCCACTCTTAGTAAGTGTGTATGCTTTTTGTTAATAAATCTCAAGAGCTGTTCCTGCTCTGCTTCTGTGTCTGCATTTGGATCCTCAACCAGTTCACACACACTGCAAACCCTGACACAATGAGACTGAACCAAATAAGGAAGACCAAAACACTGAGTTGATGACACTAAAGTGGCCTGTAGAGGTGAAAGTTGAGATCATTTCTGTTTCTGTGCCCTTCAGCCAAACTGTACAGAGTTGTTTTTGTGTCTTTATTATGTAATCTAAAAATAGGTTTGAACAAAACTATCCACACAGAAAATTTCATCCAAAGTTTTGTTTGCAAATCCCAACATTTTGTGAATCCAAAATGAGCAGAAATGTCATGGGTGGGACCTATGAATGATCCGCTCAACAGTCGCGCTAAGCCGAATGTTTAGGCATCTGCTGATAAGCAGGCTGTCATTTCATGAGCTATAGCTGTGTATTCAATAGACAGAAGCAGAAAAGCAGAATGATAAATACCCAAGAAGTCCTGTCAATGAACCGAGTGAGGGAGAATGGGATGGGGAGAGATAACAGCGATCATGAGTGTGTATGTCTTGGGCGGGCGTTGGTGAGAGAGAGAGAGAGAGAGAGAGAGCTCAGTGTCTTGATTATCATAGCATAGACTAACTAAGAAAGCAAGTTAATATTACCTATACTTTGTTTTCAGCGTTGTAACAACTACTGGACCCAAGTGCAGGACTGAGGTCTTCATTCTTTTTTTCAATTTGATGTGAACTGGAGCGTTACGCTCACTGCTGGGAGCTCAGGTCAGGCGTGTGGGGAAAAAAACTCTCAATATTCAAATTTCAACTTTAAAATTGATTGCGTACCTAACGATTGAATATTCGAATATTTGAATGTTCTGTCCAGCACTAGTTTTCACAAAAAATGGCTCACTTTACTGCCAAACGCAGTTTATGCACCAGTTCCAACACAGCTTTCTTGCATGTTTGATAAATACATGTGACATGAGTTCATGTTTCAATAGAAAGATTTTTGCTTTTGAATGATTTTTAAAATAAAATGTTTTTGCTCCGTCTCTTCCCCACAGACTTCAAATCTCTCTCTCTCACGTTTAATAACAGAGGATGTCATCAATCTGTCATTTTGATCAAGACTGTTCAATAGAGACGCGTCTTTTGTAAGTCCCACCCACATTATTGATTTGCAAACAAAACTATTGGATGACATTTGTAATCCCAAATATGTGAGTGTGGATAGTTTTCAAGGTACATGGTAGATTTATTTGTCAGAATGCAACAGGTTATAGAGTGAAACTGCTACGTAGCAGACGTTATACATTAATATAAAGGAATTATAAAACAGAAATAAACTATATTTAGTGGAGCAGTGCTGAGGATGAAATTAGAGTTTAAGAGTCTGATAGCTTGGGGGAGAAAGCTGCTCTGCAGTCTGGTGGTGCAGCAGCAGAAACTTCTATATCTCTTCCCAGAAGGCAGCAGGGTGAACAGGCTGTGGCTGGGTGGGTACTGTCCTTTAGTATCCTTTGGGCTCTGCAGGCACCTCACTGATATCACTGCTCAGGAGATGGGTACCAATGATCTTCTGAGCAGTTTGAATCACCCGCTGCAGAGCCCTCTGGTCCTGGGCCGTGCACATCCCATGTTAGTGATGTTTCCAGTCAGGATGCTTTCTGTTACTCCTCTGTAAAAGCTGACAAGAACTTGGCACGGGAATTTGGCCTTCTTAAGCTTCCTCAAGAAGAGAAGAGAAAAAGGCCTTTTGTGTACGTAGAGAAAGTCTCAGATCTTTGAGTTCAGCTCATGATGAATGGGGGCAAAAACAAAAGTGTTGCGTTTATAATTTTGTTCAGTGTATTTAATCTCAGTACAAATCTTTGCCAAAGAGTGGACAGGATTCAAATCGGAAAAATATGGTGATATAAGAATTTGTAGGAGCATGGAAATTAAATAATATGAGGTAAAATGTGAATGAGGTTACCTTTTTGTTTTTAAATCTGGATACAGATTACTGCATAAATCTTAGTACATACTTTCAAATCTGAGTGCACATTTACATTACTCTGTACATATTCTCAACAGCTCGTGTCAAATGGCAAGTTTCACATCCTGATTGTAATCTTTCCAAAATTATGAAACACTGGCTTCACTTCCTGCACAGCCACATTATCATGTTTGATCATTTTCATCCTGTAGTTTCCTCATGACGGGACCTGCCCATCTTCTTGTATCTGGATGCATAAGCACCTCACAGCCAGGACAGGAAACTTTGGTCAGCTGTGGCTGGGGACTGCCGGCAGGTGGAGATGCTGCAGGAGCAAGACTCGATCATCATCACCTGCTGCTGGGTTAGCCTGCCTTGAGGGCAGCGGAAAACCATCCGCACAGTCCTTGTGTGGGATGGGCTGCAGCAGCGTCCCTCTAGACACGTCAAGGCACAGAACCTGGGACGGTAGGCTCTGGTGCTCCAGCAGCCCTGGTGTTCAAGCTTAATGGACACAGGTGAAATGTGGCTGCTCTCGCACACCCCCGAACCCTGAAACATATATAAAGTGACAGGCAAAACTGTAATCATGTTTTTTTTCTTGTTGCATGTCCAGTGATGTGTTGCCATTTGTAGTTTGACATGTGTTTTAACATTCAAAATTTGGCCCATTCTTATCCTGGATTATGGCACAACTGGTTTACTTTAATAGATGGATATCTAAAACACATAAAGGCCCATGTGTGAGCTATGACATGAAAATTGGCCCAGAGCCCAACCCAAGAGATGTAAATAGGTTGGGCCCCATTGTGGTCGGGCTGAAATGCAAGGCTCTATTTTATAGGCTATCTATAGATTTAATTACTCATGTGTTGATTGAGAAGCTAAACAGATCTGCTGCAGGCTGCTTGGTCATCACTTTAATAAATAAAAAAAAAAAGCTCCATTAAGTTATTTTTCTAAATTAACTTAATAAAGAAACAAAAAGAAATATAACAACTTAATAAAGTGCTGGTGAATTTAGGAAAATTATTCATTGCTCTGTGTTCCAGGGTCCTGGTGTTGTGTATGCTGGCTGACTTGGCTTACTCAGAATCTTGAATGGAAGAGAGTCCTTATCAGTGTTATCACCACCCGCCCCCATGCCTTTCCTGTTATGACAAGTCAAGCATTCTACTGAGGAAAAGGTATGTCATGAGATCAATTCATTTTAAGAGCCATCATAACCTGAATGTGTCTCTGTGAAAAATGCTTTTAAGAAATGAAAAAAAAGAAATTGGAAAAGGAAATTAAAACCACAAATGAAATAAACAAATATGTCTCCAGAAAAGGAAGTTTTATAACAGCTACATGAAGTTTAATTAATAAAAAGTCATTGAATTATTTCCTTAGATATTGGTTCTTTATATATACTGTATTTTATAATCTTTCCATTTGGTTTTCTCTTTTGTATGGAAGCCCTAAGCGTCCATCGATTCAAATATTTTTTCCTGTGATAACAGGATCATGATCTCGAGATAACAAACCATAGCTGAATACAGGGGTCGGCAGATTTTTTTGAGTTACTGGTGAGCTCAGTTGGTAGAGTGCAGGACTTGTAGTCCATGAACTGCAGGTTTGACCCCTGCTGTTTTTTATCATCCTCTTCAACAAAGTTGTTATGAAGAGATTCAGGGGAACCCAATCACACATTTCCAGATGGCTATTTCAAAGGTCGTCAGGAAATGTGTAACGTTAAATGGATTCCCCAGACTGAGAAGTGGATGAATTTCCTCTGCTTGGAAATGATGGGGAAATGGAAAGTTCATAGGTCGATGGATAAGGGCCCAATCGCCGGGATGCACACAGTCTAGCATGTGCTTAATTGTGAGCACTTGAAACAGTCTCTTTATAAGAACTTTGTTGAAGAGGAATATGAAAAAGATAAAAAAAATAGACAGAAATTGATTACCAGTGAGGATCAATCACACAACTCTATGATAATGAGTCCTATGCTCTACCAACAGAACTAATGAGTGACACTGAAGACCACAGTGAAATTATCATTAAGAAATGTTCCTGCCCACCCCTGTGTTAACTACTGTTTTGTTATCTCGAGATATGGAGAAAATTATCTTTTATGAATAGTATACGTTCTTGGGTAGAACTTTACTTTGAAATGTATTAACAAGTGTTTGATCAGTGGAGCTTAGTAATGTGTGCTGATTGTACCGTCTGCAGCATTCGGAGCCCCGGCAGCATTGATGGGCATGTCCTGACATGGCACAGTCTGGTCTCAGTCTGCAGGCGACAAGCCCAGTTTCTGGTTGTGGTGCGCGTGGAGACACCTGGGCCACAGCTGTGGGAGCATGGGCTCCAATCTGAGGTCCACTCGATACAGTTGGAGATCGAGCCAAACGTCGGGCCGAACAGCCCACCCCTGTAGTCCTGACGTGTCTGCTCTGCTGGAAAGAAACACAGAAGAGGAAAACATTTGCTGTGTTCATCAAGCTGAAACTTGTTTGAAGTGGACTGCTTTGATGAGAACTCGTGAGTCAGAAAGTTCATATGCACTGAAATGTGGTAAACTGCTGCTCAGATGAGGTCAGCTAGCTAAGAATAGTGCCCACAGATGTTTCGTGTATATGTTTGACATTCCTGACACCTCTTTGGTATTGAAATCTGTTTATTTTTGACACAACCGAGATGAAAATGTCTCTGCAGTCTTCAGAGTAGCTATATTTGATGCTTTTACTATTTCACAAGTCTTAACAGCCTGACTTGATATTGCACTTATAATTCTTATAATTCTGAGTCATCTTTGTTGTTTGTTCATGTAGATCCTCAACCACATTACCTGCGGATGGATTTGAGGAAATGTTGTTGTCCACGCTGTCACACACCCACTCTTTGCAGCAGCGCCCTGGTAGTCTCACCAGCCGAGGTTTGAGGCACTTATCAGTGGGCCTCTTCAGATCATCACTGCACAGGGGCACGCAGGTCACCCCTCCTCCCAGACAGTGGCAGAGCTTGGCACAGGAAGGTTGAAATATCTGTCCCTCCTCCAGCCTCCTGCCATTCATCTCACAGCCCAGCTCATTCCGACCTGATCACAGCAAAGGGAGGATGACTTGGAGACGATGGAATGTTTTGTCGGTGAAAAAGATTTGGCTTGCTACATTAATGCTGTGCCAAGCATGGGATGAGTTCTGTGAAACAAAACAAGTAACAGCTACAGCTAGCTAACCAGTAAAACAGTTCACTGTAACCCAAATACAATTTCGGATCAGGTTTACTGTTATTAATCATTGGTAACGTCAGATCAACATAATGTTTGCAATTGAGATTCTTATAACTGGAAGTCATGGGAAGGGAGGGGCCGCTGTGAGATGTAGCGATCATAAGTTACTTGTATCCTAGACAGTGTTGGGCAGTAACGCGTTACTGTAATAATATTACTTTTCCCAGTAACTAAGTTGTGTAACTAATTACTTTTTAAAAACAGTAATATTATTACAGTTACTAACGCTGCGTTACTCGTTACTGAACGCACCATCCTTGACGTAAATCCACGACTGTGCGGCAGCTCAGCAGGACTTTGTTGTTCATGTCCACTAATAGCCAAACACTAAAGGAAGAAAGTAGAACTAGGGGGAGAGGCGTTGTTTCCACAGCTGTAAGTAGCTGCTGCCATTATTGTGTCACAGTCTGATGCAAATAAAATTGTCGTCTAGTCTAAACTCTGTGCGACCAGCAAAAACCTTTCAACCGTGAACATTTCTACATCTGATTTATTGAAGCATCTGCTGAAGCAGCACAGCGACGTGAAACTTACAGAAAGAAACCCCAGCAGCTGCTGTCACTGATGCTTGGACTCATCAGGAGAGAGTGGCGTTAACGCAACGTTTTGTAACTACTGCTCTTATGAACAGGCTGCATGTGCAGAAAAACATCCCCCCCCTCCCACGCTGTCATTTTGTGGGAAACACTGGAAAGTAATACAGTAACGTAACGAGTAATGTAACTAGTTACTTTTATCACCCAGGAAGTACAGTAATAATATTACTTTTTTAAGGAGTAATAAGTAACTAGTAATATATTACAATTTCTGAGTAAGTTGCCCAACACTGATCCTAGATGGCTATATTTGTAACATTATACACACGCAAGTTACCTCGAACTTCAATTGAATACCCAGTGGTCAAAATGTGGCCATAATAAGCTACTGAGTAGAGAACAGAGGGAAAATAGCTAAATTTGACAACTGAACATGCTTTTTGATGTATGTGGGGTACTAATGGCAAGTGAAGAGATGCCTTTTATTATTATTATTAATATTAATATTATTATTATTTATTATTATTATTATTATTATTATTATTTATTATTATTAATAACCAGGTACTAGGCAGGATAAATAAATAATTATATTACCTTTTAGTTAATTAGTCTTAAAATCATAATAACAATTCTAAATCATAAAGTTACATTTGAGTAATGGTAGCTGGATCACATTATAGTATATTACAATCAGCATATACATTTTTGTTGTTGTTTTGGAGTCTGTGTTGCGCTGGTTGCTGGCTCACTGGTCACTGGTCACTGGTTGCTTTTTAGTTTTCTCCACCTAGTTCTGGGTCTTCCTTGAGGCCACCTCCCAGCTGGACGTGCCTGGAACACCTCCCTAGGGAGGCGTCCAGGAGGCATCCTTACCAGATGCCCAAACCACCTCAAATGGCTCCTCTCAATGCAAAGGAGCAGCGGCTCTACTCTAAGCTCCTCGCGGATGGCTGAACTTCTCACCCTATCTCTAAGGGAGACACCAGCCACCCGCCCGAGGAAACCTATTTCGGCTGCTTTTCGTCACAATGGTGCGGTAAAGCGAGTGCAATACCGCCCCCGCTGCTCCGATTTTCTGGCCAATTTCCTGCTCCAGTCTCCCCTCACTCGTGAACAAGACCCCAAGGTACTAGAACTCCTTCACTTGGGATGAGGACTCATTCCCTACCTGGAGTTGGCACTCCACCGGTTTCCTGCTGAGAACCATGGCCACAGATTTAGAGGTGCTCATCCTCATCCCTACCGCTTCGCACTCTGCTGCGAACCGATCCAGTGAGAGCTGGAGGTCACGGACCAATGATGCCATCAGGGCCACATCATCTGCAAAAAGCAGTGACGAGATCCCAAGCCCACCGAACTGCAGCCCCTCCTCGCCACGACTATGCCTCCATATCCTGTCCATGAATATCACAAACAGGATTGGTGACAAAGCGCAGCCCTGGCAAAGGCCAACCCTCACCTGGAAAGAGTCTGACTTACTGTCTCGCTTTGGATGTACAGGGATTGGATAGTCCTGAGAAGGGCCCCCCTCACCCCATACTCCTGCAGCACCTCCCACAGTATCTCCCGGGGGTCATACGCCTTCTCCAGATCTACAAAGCACATGCAGACTGGATGGGCATACTCCCAAGCGCACTCCAGGATCCTTGTGAGAGTAAAGAGCTGGTCAGTGGTTCCACGACCGGGACGAAAACCACATTGTTCCTCTTCAATCTGAGGTTCAACTATCGACCAAACCCTCCATTCCAGCACCTTGGGGTAGACTTTACCGGGGAGGCTGAGAAGTGTAATAAACCCATGTAATTGGCAAAGACTCTCTGGTCCCCCTTTTTGAACAGGGGAACCACCACCCCAGTCTGCCACTCCTTGGGCACCGTACCCGACTTCCAGGCAATGTTAAAGAGAAGTGTCATCCAAGAAAGCCCCTCCACACCCAAAGCTTTTAGCATTTCTGGGCGGATCTCATCAATCCCTGGGGCTTTGCCACTGTGGAGTTGTTTGACTACGTCAGTAACTTCCTCCAGGGAAATTGACGAGAAACCTCAATCAGCCTCCAGCTCTGCCTCTACTAGAGAGGGCGTGTCAGTGGCTGTTCCAAGTTACTGTGGTTCAGTTTTATGTGGTTCAGTTTTATGTGAGGTTACAACCCGTTCCCAAATAGGCAAAGATAGATTGTGGTAGATCGTGGAGCTCACTATGTGGCTCTGGGTTGCTCCTAGCAAACCAATAATTGCTGGTTGATGTAAAACGCATCACTACCACAGACACCAGATTTAAAAACTCGGGTATACTGTGAATATAGAGAGAGTGATCTGGCGGTGATAGGCTTAATCAGCATTGCGTGAACTCGTTTGGCGAGGGCTTGATTGTAACAGACACTAATTTATTTGTAATAATCCTGCACTCCAACTTTAAATAATGAATCATCATGATTGATTTATGTGAATGTAAAAACACCCACAAGGTTGCTCTGCTGAATTGCACTGCCTCTGGTACAATAAGGTATTTCTTTAAAAAATTTTAAACTAGATTTTAAATACTGTGTATTTTGTACACTTGGTAATATATATATATATATATAAATAATAATAATAATAATAATAATAATTTAAAAAATATATATATATATGTTTATAAACACATAGTACATATCCATCCAGACACGGGAAGAACATGCAAACTCCTCACAGAAAGGCCTGGGCAACCGTGCTAACCACTGCATCACTGTGTCGCCCCACAGTACATATATTAAAAATAAATATGTTTTCTATTATTCCGACTTTTCATACATAATACATATTAAAATATTTTGCATCCTACAAATCAAGCACGGATATATCACTTTTGATTACATGTTGATTCTGAAAATTAAGATTTTCAGTTTTGGTTCTGTGTTATAAAAATCCAGCAAGGAATGTGACACTTAAATATAAAGTGTCATATTCTAAAAATATATTTTATATTATGCAACAATTGGAATACACTTTTGATCAGATAGACAGAAGAGTGTTTGAGTCCAAAGATGCTTCTGTCCATGTTAAATGGCCTTCTGAGAGGTGAAACAGGTGAGAAAAGGGTGCTAAAGTTGTATCAGTAGTATTAAAAGTAGGACTACAGATCCAAACTTTTTAGTTTTCTCCACCTAGTTCTGGGTCTTCCTTGAGGCCACCTCCCAGCTGGACGTGCCTGGAACACCTCCCTAGGGAGGCGTCCAGGAGGCATCCTTACCAGATGCCCAAACCACCTCAAATGGCTCCTCTCAATGCAAAGGAGCAGCGGCTCTACTCTAAGCTCCTCGCGGATGGCTGAACTTCTCACCCTATCTCTAAGGGAGACACCAGCCACCCGCCCGAGGAAACCTATTTCGGCTGCTTTTCGTCACAATGGTGCGGTAAAGCGAGTGCAATACCGCCCCCGCTGCTCCGATTTTCTGGCCAATTTCCTGCTCCAGTCTCCCCTCACTCGTGAACAAGACCCCAAGGTACTAGAACTCCTTCACTTGGGATGAGGACTCATTCCCTACCTGGAGTTGGCACTCCACCGGTTTCCTGCTGAGAACCATGGCCACAGATTTAGAGGTGCTCATCCTCATCCCTACCGCTTCGCACTCTGCTGCGAACCGATCCAGTGAGAGCTGGAGGTCACGGACCAATGATGCCATCAGGGCCACATCATCTGCAAAAAGCAGTGACGAGATCCCAAGCCCACCGAACTGCAGCCCCTCCTCGCCACGACTATGCCTCCATATCCTGTCCATGAATATCACAAACAGGATTGGTGACAAAGCGCAGCCCTGGCAAAGGCCAACCCTCACCTGGAAAGAGTCTGACTTACTGTCTCGCTTTGGATGTACAGGGATTGGATAGTCCTGAGAAGGGCCCCCCTCACCCCATACTCCTGCAGCACCTCCCACAGTATCTCCCGGGGGTCATACGCCTTCTCCAGATCTACAAAGCACATGCAGACTGGATGGGCATACTCCCAAGCGCACTCCAGGATCCTTGTGAGAGTAAAGAGCTGGTCAGTGGTTCCACGACCGGGACGAAAACCACATTGTTCCTCTTCAATCTGAGGTTCAACTATCGACCAAACCCTCCATTCCAGCACCTTGGGGTAGACTTTACCGGGGAGGCTGAGAAGTGTAATAAACCCATGTAATTGGCAAAGACTCTCTGGTCCCCCTTTTTGAACAGGGGAACCACCACCCCAGTCTGCCACTCCTTGGGCACCGTACCCGACTTCCAGGCAATGTTAAAGAGAAGTGTCATCCAAGAAAGCCCCTCCACACCCAAAGCTTTTAGCATTTCTGGGCGGATCTCATCAATCCCTGGGGCTTTGCCACTGTGGAGTTGTTTGACTACGTCAGTAACTTCCTCCAGGGAAATTGACGAGAAACCTCAATCAGCCTCCAGCTCTGCCTCTACTAGAGAGGGCGTGTCAGTGGCTGTTCCAAGTTACTGTGGTTCAGTTTTATGTGGTTCAGTTTTATGTGAGGTTACAACCCGTTCCCAAATAGGCAAAGATAGATTGTGGTAGATCGTGGAGCTCACTATGTGGCTCTGGGTTGCTCCTAGCAAACCAATAATTGCTGGTTGATGTAAAACGCATCACTACCACAGACACCAGATTTAAAAACTCGGGTATACTGTGAATATAGAGAGAGTGATCTGGCGGTGATAGGCTTAATCAGCATTGCGTGAACTCGTT